GTTTAGGGTTTAGGGTTTAGGGTTTAGGGTTTAGGGTTTAGGGTTTAGGGGTTAGGGGTTAGGGGTTAGGGTTTAGGGTCAGGAGGGTGGAGGGTTGAGGGTCGGTTCAGGGTTGCCACAAGGGTTCAGGGTTCAGGGGTTTGGGTCCCTTGCTACATAACCCTTACGTACACTATATATAACAAGGACCCATACTGGGGATCCCGATAAACCAAGGCAAGGGCCCACACTTAGGGCCCATGGTTCCAACCTTAGAGTACAGGCCTTGCGGTCTAGGGTTTAGGGTTTAGGGTTTGGGGTTTAGGGTTTAGGGTTTAGGGTTTGGGGTTTGGGGTTTAGGGTTTAGGGTTTAGGGTTTGGGGTTTAGGGTTTAGGGTTTAGGGTTTTGAGGATTGAGGGTTGAGGTTTCGGAGTTTAGGGCTGAAACTGCCGAAGACCATGGCTCCGGAACCCTAAGCCTCTTAGGCCCTACACTTGGAGCCCTCAACCCTCGAACACAAAACTTTACAAAGCCCACCCTAAAGCCCCAAACCCTGTAAACGGTAAGCTCCCTTGCCTCTGAAACCCTCAACCCTAAACCCCAAACCCGAAACCCTGAACCCCAAACCCTAAACCCTAAACCCTAAACCCTAAACCCTAAACCCTAAACCCTAGACCCTAAGCCTCCGAAACCTCACAGCGCAAGACGGCCGACGGGGGGGGTGAAGGCGGCGCGTGCCCTGGCCAACGAGGCAAAACCGGAAGCGCCCTCCTGCTGCCAAGTCCTGGCGGCAGGCTTTGTGAGGGTTTTTATGTCCGCAGTTTAGGGGTTGAGGGTTTAGGGTTTAAGGGTTTAGGGTTTAGGCCGGTTTAGGGTTTAGGGTTTAGGGTTCAGGGTTTAGGGTTTAGGGTTTAAGGTTTGGGGTTTAGGGCCGCACGCTACACCCTCAACCCTTGAAGCTACTAATATCGTCCCCATCGTCCGCAGTCATGTCAATGATGATGAACATGAAAGCTCTCAAAGTTTTGAATGTTTAGGGATTTCGGGTTACAGGGCTAAACCCGAAACCCACTGTCCTGGCCCTAGCTCTGGTTGCGCCACTAGCTTCAGCAGGGTAGCCGGCACTGAGAACCTCGTGACTTTGGCGAAAAGTCGCAAGCTTAAAGGCTTAGTGCAGAGGGTTTAGGGTTTAGGGATGTCTAAGCCCGAAACCCCAAACATCCCAAAACCCTAAACCCTCAACCCTAAACCCTAAACCCTAAACCCTAAGCATCCCTAAATCCTAAACCCTAAAAGGGTCTTAAAGTTCAGGGTTTCTTAGGGGGTCCGGATCTTCAACATCAAACTACAGAGTAGTGCTGACATCGTAGAGAGATTCGTCTTTGGGTGGAAGGTCTGGGCATTTAACTCGCACAGACGCAGCAGAATCCTAAACCCGGCCATAAATCCTACATCCCATTTCCTCGTCGTGTAGGATACCAATGAGCTTCACAAAGACTATCCCTGGAAGCATAACCCTCAACTCCACGCATCAAGACCCTGAACGATTCATGCCCACAGGCTTGGCTCACGTGCCGGAGTTTCCGAGCTTCAGGTTGTACTTGGAGGTTCATGGTACTTAGTAACTAATTATAACTGTACTTATGACTGTACTTATAACCATAGTAGGGCACTTAAGGGGCTTATAAGTGGGTTATAAGTACAGTTATAATTAGTTACTAAGTACCATGAACCTCCAAGTAAGGTTGAGGCTTCAGGGTGTCTCCTTGTCTTGAACCCCCTGACGAAACCGACTCAACATGTGGGATGCCGCTCTGACCTGGTAAGATTTCTGCTTCCAGTCCACTGGGCGCAGTGCGCGAGAGTGTCCGCACGACACGGGCGCCACCAAAGGGATCTGCTCCATTGCCATCACACAAAGACCAACCTGTGAACCCCCAAACCATACAAGATGGCAGGTTATACCCCCCCCCCTAGAAGACAGGCCCTAAACCCTAAACCCCAGACCCTAAACCCTAACACCTAAACCCTAAATGGAGCCTCTGCCCTCAAGCCTTCAGCTTCGAGCTGCCACTCGACTCTTTGTGGGGTATACCTCTCGAGGTTCCCGACGCCATGACACACTGAGCTCAAGATACTTTGAGCCAGTGTATGACGGACCAAAGGATACGTGGAGGTTTCCGAAATTAGGGGTACCTTATTGGGGTGCTTGCTATAATGGAATCCTACTATTTGGGGGTCTGTTTTGGGGGCGGGTCCCCTATTCTCGTAAACACATGGAAGACAGTCAACTTTTTCGACTAAACCCTCAATCTTGGAATTGGAAACCCTAAACACTAAACCCTAAACCCTAAACCTTAAACCCTAAACCCTAAACCCTAACCCCTGGGCTTTATGCTCGGCAAACCGATCCCTGCGCCACCGGACCTTATGCCTCGGTCCCTTGCATCGCCCGCGGTGCGCGCGCTGGAAACTGCACGATCCGATGTTCAGGTCTAGGGTTTAGGGTTTAGGGTTTAGGGTTTAGGGTTTAGGGGTTAGGGGTTAGGGGTTAGGGGTTTAGGGTTTAGGGGTTTAGGGTTTAGGGTTCAGGGTGTTCGGGTTCTTAAGTTCAGGGACTAAGCGACAAATTGACACACAAATCCCCAAGAAGAGCACGTCAGTGACACCCCTCGGCTGCCCCGGCGATGCTCGTTTTTAGCACGAGGTGCAAGATTCTAAACCCAAAGCCCTAAACCCTAAACCCTGAACCCTAAACCCTAAACCCTAAACCCCAAGCCCACATGAACCTCGTGTTGGCCTGCCACACCTAACACTCAATCGAAACTGCCACGTGCAGCACGGCTCGCCGCTTTGGCGCAGGGTCGGCCCGAGATCTCTGATGTGGGGTTAGGGTTTAGGGTTTAGGGTTTCGGGTTTAGGGCTTAGGGTTTCCGAAATTCCTTGGTGGTTCATGGCACTTATTAAACCAATGATAACTGTACTTATAACTGTACCTTAGAACCATATTAGGGCCCTCAAGGGGCTTATAAGGGTCATAAGTGCAATTATAATTGGTTAAGAAGTACCATGAACCTCCAAGTAGGGGTGGGCAGTAATAACGCTCTCTATCTCTCATTCATGCGTTTATCCCCCTTTCTCTATTCTTATTATTCTTATTATTATTATGATTATTATTCTTCTTCGTATTCTTATTATTATGATTATTACTATTACTAGGGGCTGCTATACAATAGCCCAAATTCTGGGATTTTAAGGGATTTTTAGTGCTCTTAATAGTTGTGATTTCGTGAGTGAAAGAGCCCCTTTAATTTCTTATGTCTTTCTTCATCACTTTCCTCGCGTACTTCTTCCTCATTCAGATATTACATTGTTTTCTTCTATTTGTTCATATAGCTCTTATTAGTACGTACTATTATTAAGTGTATTTTCACACATTCAATCACTTCTACTTCCAGTACCTTATTGGGTCCCTAGTACAAGGGATCCTATCATTTGGGGATCTACATTGGGGCTCCGCGATTTTCGTAAACCCCCATATGCTCCTGATGATGTGGCGACAAGGAGGCAGCGTGATGACGGTGATGGCGATGACACTGGAAATGCAAATTAGGAAAACTTTTCCGCTGCTGATGATGATGATGATGATGATGATGATAACGGTGGCACTGACGATGATCGTGGTGATGATGGCCTAGGACTAAGAAACCTGCCAGAATGAACGGCCGGCCGAACACAGCTCGGATGTCTAAAAAAAACAAAGTATGCACAACAACCAAACGATGTTACAGCAAGTAACGCACACTTGATGTCAGCAGGTTCCTGCGGACAGGACGCTTTCCCCTCAAACTACATGCTCTATCATGCCCTGCATGAGACCAAGTCATGTTATATGTATTCGAGACTTTGGTTCTTTCCCCACATAGCGTGAGCTTTGGAGCAGATTGGGATTTAGCTCCGACTCCTTTAAACCCAAAACGTCCAGACCCGAGAATCTGAGGCATAGCCGGGAATCAATGACCTTCACCCCCCAAAAAGTAGCACAAGAGACAACCCTAAACCCCAAACCCCAAACTATAAACCCCAAACCCCAAACCCCCAACCCCGCAACAGGGTTATTGCATGTCGTGTTCAGCTACTTGAGCCGTGGTTCGTCTTTGTGAGCACTCGCCACGTCTAGAGCCCGAGTCTTCGTGCTTTAAGGACTCTAAGGTTTAGGGCTTAGGGTTTAGGGTATAGGTCTGGGTTTAGAGTTCAGGGTCATGATCAGTAGGGTTGCCTGGCAGAGCCCTTATCTACTACTTGCATCAAGATGCAGTCAACATGCTTTGGCTGGAAGTGCACCCCGAAACAAAAACTTCCAAACCCTAACATCTAAAACCTCAAAAACCCCCTCCCTGTAAACCCTAAACCCTGGTCAGGAAGATGGGCACCCTCGCAGTACGAGCTGCGGGCGAGCACCCTGACCTATGGAGGAAGCCTCATGCGAAAAGTCCCACGGCGAACGAACCCTAAGCTTTGGGGTTTGGGGTTTAGGGTTTAAGGTTCAGGGTTAAGGGTTTAGGGTGCTGGGAAGATCAGCGATCGCGCCGCGAACGGGAAATGAGTTACGGAGAATCCTGGGGTTTAGGGTTTGCGGCTGCAACGTTTGGTTAGTCTACTATCTGGTGGGGGTCTTTAGGCGTACCGTCAGAGCGGCAAAGAAGTGAATGATGACTGCAATGATTCGTGGATCCTGCAGAATATCCATCCGATACAAAGAGGCGCAGGGGTTCTTTAACGGGGACTCCCTTAGATGAGGGTCCATTTGGGGGTCTCCCATACTTACAAAAGCCCCCCAGATGTGGTGCACGCAACTTTGGCCGGGTGTGAATACAAGTCGCTGCGGTCACAAGGCTGCCCGAGGCAAGCAAAGTCAAGCTGCGGGGTTTTGGTTCTTCTGGGATCTCTTTTGGTTATAAGTAGAAGGCTCCCTGCGGTCTAGGGGTGGTTAAAAAACTTCAAGGCTCAGCCTTTAGGGCTACCCCTCCTCTCGCTTTTCTTCCTCCTCCTGTCCTTCACACTGCTCCTCGAAGTCGGACAAGAATAGCCGGACAATCATGAGCAGGTGCTTTCTCCACCGATTCCCTTCGTCTTCGTATTCGCAGTTCGTTTTCTCTTGAGTTTTCAAGTCAGCCAAAGTCTTCAGAATCACAGACCAATGTCTAGAAGCGTGCTCGTGCGAATCGTGGGGTGTAAAATCCAGCTCCACAACGGCTTTCTGTTGTCTACGCTCCACGTCCACTAATTGCAGCAGCTCAGTGTACACTGCCTTCCGTACTGTGGGGTCCGTCTCGTAATTCAGTAAGATGCTGTCCTTTCTGGCTGCCAGATGGCGTGCCGTAACAAACTTCGCTTTCTGTAAGTCGTACTGAGCTGACAGTTCAAGTACATATTCAGGCTTTGACTTTGCAAGGCGCTGCAAAAAGCCCTCACATCGGTTCTTCAGTCCCAGGATTTGGTACTCATCTGCATACCCCAAAAGCAGCTCAAGATTCTCCTGCGTGATGGGGGGTGGGAGAGATCCACCCCGCAGATCTAAGTGCTCCAGTACCACCCTGAAGTCATCCAGGGCCTTGTCCCTAAGCACAATGCGCCCAGACTGAGCTTCCTGCATGCCGGATTGCAGCATGCGTGTGAACACCTCCGAAGCCGCCATTAGGACATGGGAGTGCACTTGGATCACGCCTCCACTTCGACGTCGGCTTCCATCGAGAAGCGGGCCCGTTTCGGCAAGGGCTCCACATGGCTCCACCATGGCGACCAGCGTGGGACAGATCTACGTGAACTAAACAACACGGCGCATTTCGGGGTTTGAGGACTCGGGCATACGCCCTGAAACCCGAAAGCTGTAAACCCCACACCTTTTCAATACTGAACTCGGGTCTCTCCACTTTGGCGATGCAAGGCGCATGTGTGATTGCATTGCCGCAACTTCCATTCATTCTAGAAACCCCAGAATCATATGCTTTCAATTACGATGGGAACCCAAGTGGGTTGAGTGTTACCCTAAACCCTTGAACCCTAACCACATCAATCAAAAGCTGTGAGCCTCCGAATCCGACGGCAGAAGTCTTAAGCTCCTAAGCCATAATATGCCATAATCCATCAGCCCTAAACCCTGAACGCCTTACCCCTTACAAGTCCTAGGCTACTTGCAACCCGAAGACTACATGGACCCCCCCAAAAACAACTGTCAGAACGGCCTCCAACTGCAATATGTGACGGGAACTTCTTGATGGAGGTCCAGGCAACCTCCTAACTAACCCGTTTAAACCAAGATAGTAAGCGTATAGGGCTTGAAATTCCGGTCAGACTCAATCATGACCTGCCAATATCAACCCGAAACACTGTAATAAATTACAGGACGCAGCATATGTCGCGCCTTGGCTACTTGAAGGGGTTCGGTTTTGTTGCCCCTTTGGGGGACGGCTCACGCCCACACACAGCATCCTTCCATACCCGAGCCTCTGCCTGTTTTCATGAATCTCACTTGGTATGTCCTCTTCTTTCTCCTTTTTGTCTCTCATTCTGGAGAGCGGTGACAGCGTTGTCACATCTACCTCAGAGGTCTTCGACCACTCAGGTCTCACCTTTGCACTCTGGAGGCCTCACTTCTGCGAGAACGTCAATGGCCACATCTGCTTGACATTGCTTGACCACCCTCACGGCCAGCCCAGATGACCCCCTCCGACCCCGAAAGCACCGACGCCAGCGTCAGCAGTTTCTCCACAGCCAGGCATCCACATCACTGTGGGGTTCTTGTTTTTTTTGGCACGCCCCGCCCGCTTGCCCCCGCCACCGCCACCGCTTGGCCACCCGCCCACCCCGCCCGCCCGCGCCGCCCGCTGCCCAGCGCCGCCGCGCCCGCGCAAATCACCGCGTCACGCTCGCAGACACGCTCCCAGCCCCCAAAACCTCGCAAATAATACACTGCGTCACGCTCACAGGGCTTCCCAATTCCGGATACCGTGGTTGGGGGGCTTCTCTTTAGGACCCCGGTGTTGTCGGCAGGCACAAAGTCCCCCCTCACCCAAAAACCCTGGCAAATACCGTGCTTGAGGACTTCCCGACAACGAAAACCTCGCAAATACCGTGGTTTGGGACTTCTCTACAGGACCTGGGTGTTGTCGGCGCGGGCAAAATCCCCTACACCAAAACCCTCGCAATGCTTGAAGGCTTTCTGACCCCGGAAACCTTGCAAATACCGGGGTTAAGAGCTTCTTTATAGGGCCTCGGCATTGTCGGCGCGCGCAAAGTCCCCCCACACCCAAAACTCTCGCAAACACAAACATGGCTTGCGGCTGCGCGTATTTCGTGTTTATTTGTTGTGTGTTGTCCATGGTTGCTTCAAATTTTCTTTATTGCGCCAGTTTCTCTCATGTTGATCACTTCCACAAGAAAGCTGCCTGCGGAGGTCGTGGTTCTCAGTAATTGCTCTTTCCACGTTGAAAGCTTGTCTGTGGGCCAGAGTCGCCTGAGTGTAGCAGTCTGGAAAGCGCCAAAAATAGAAGAATTCGCGGCCCCAAACCTGGGGCCGCCAAACGGCCCCAATTTTGGGGTCGCAGTTTCACCCCCCCCCCCCCAATCTAGTTCCAAATTGTATTGCGGGAGCTGGGTCCATTTCGCAGCCCAATTTTTGGGGCCGCGAGACGGCCCGTTTTTTTGGCCCTTGAATTTGAGCCTGTGGGCACAAGCAACCGGATCGCACCTGCCCTTTTTCTAGTAACTTTGGGCAGCGTCGCGCTGAGCGTGCGGGGGCTTGTCCGAAGCAGCTGCGCGCTCGTCTTTGTAATGCTGCACTGAGGCAGAACTGCAACTGTGGAGGCCCGTCCTGGCGAAGCCAGAATTGCTTGTGTTTTGCGGCCCTGAAAGCGGGGTCGCCCGACTTCCCCGTAACTTGGGCTTCGTCCTGGCAATGCTGCTGGCCCGCCAGTTGAGCTGCAGGTCTTTGTTGGTGTTTTCTGTGGATAGGAGTCACGCTTCAAGCTCTGGGGAGTTGACCAACGTGGCCTCAACGTTTTCTGCGGTTGTGCAGGGTCGTTTGCTAGACATTGCAGAATGAAAGTTTTTGGCAGGCTTGGGCTTTGAACAGCAAAGATATGTAAGCGTGTTGCAGGCCCGGATTTTAAGTTGCCATGCGCCCAATGAAGAAGAAGATTTTGGGGAAGGGCGACGTCCCCAGCGACAGGGTTGTGCACGTGGGTTTGGAGTGGGTTTGACCATGTTTTGAAGGGACTGAGAATAGCGGGTGGGTTTGGGGTGGGTTCGGCGTGGGTCTGGGGTGGGTTTGGCTGGGTTTGACCATGCTTTGAATGGACTGGGGTGGGTTTGACCGTGTTTTGAATGGACTCGGGGTGGGTTGGACCTGTTTAGAAGGGGTGCGGGTGGGCGGGGTGGGTTTGACCGCGTTTTGAAGGTGGGATGGCTTTGGGGTGGTTTTGACCATGCTTTGACGGGGCTGGGATGGGTTTGACCATGTTTTGAAGGCGCTGAGGGTAGCTTTCGGGTGGATTTGGGGTGGTTGACCTCTTTTGAAAGGGTTGGGGTGAGGGGGGCTTGACTGTGTTTTGAAGAAGAGGCTGGGAAGGGGGCTTGATTTCCACAGCAAGTGCTAGGAGACCGAGTTCCTGCCTCGGCTTAACCTGCTTGAGAACATAGCGAAGGTCACTTTCCTGCTGCGTGACGGAGGCCCTCCACCCCCGTAGAGTCTTAGCAAAACGGACCAAGGTGGCGAGCCTGCCCGCGAACGGCGGAGTCGTTGTGTTCCCGAATTAAAAAAACAATATTAATGTTTTGTTATTCCGGGAAACCTAGGACTCCACGGCACTCTATTGGTAAATTGCAATTTGCGAGGACTCCGCCGACTCCGCCGAGGCTTGTCACGCCGACTCCGCCAGAGCTTCAGTAGGTGCCCTTCTAATCTTGATTAGCGACGCCGCGTCTGTGCGCAGGGGTAGAGTTGCGGGAAGAGCACGTGACTATTAGCTAGAAGTGTATCAGATAGTAGAAGCAGAAGGGTCGCCAACCACTTTTTTCAATTGTTCAGGCGCCAGGTCGATGGAAAGGGCCATTGCGCTTCGACAGGTCCGGTATGTTCTATAAACTAGTTGTGCTTGCTAGCGGTATAGCCGGAGGCTTCAAAAGGCTGCGAGCTTCGCTCCACGCTTTATTTTTCTCAGGAGTGCCGGAAATCCTCACCAACGTCCACTCGAGGAAACAGCAACGATGCACAAAACAGGTTGATGGGTGGGACCATGTTACCCCACCCATGACTGACCGAAGCAACACTTTGCCCAACACGAGAAAAAGTAGGTGACAAAACACAAGATTGACACAATTTCGCTCCGGTCATTCTCAACATGCTGCAAAGCAAGATGTGGCCTGTACGGAGAAAACTGACACCAGACAGCTTTTTCAGCCGCCCATACGAAAACATGACTGCGCGAGTGTGAACCAAGAAGCCCAGATGAGCTTGCTGCAAAAGAGATGCCCTACAAGTGAGACTACCTGCCAGTACATATGCTGTGCTACGGCCCGCCCCGAGAGCCCACTTTCTTGTAACGAGGTCTTGAATGTTCTTCTGGCCAGTGCCGGTGAGACAGAGAACCCCAAAAATTGGGGTGGGTGGGTGAGGAAACTTGACTTTCTCGCTAGCAAGCACAACTCTAGAGCCAAAATGACGCACGAACATAGTTTATAAAACATACATGAACAAGTACATGATACGTTCTATAAACTAGTTGTGCTTGCTAGCGGTATAGCCGGAGGCTTCAAAAGGCTGCGAGCTTCGCTCCACGCTTTATTTTTCTCAGGAGTGCCGGAAATCCTCACCAACGTCCACTCGAGGAAACAGCAACGATGCACAAAACAGGTTGATGGGTGGGACCATGTTACCCCAAATTAAACTACCCAGCAACCTCGCACCGGAAAAAACCCCAAACCTAAGTGAGGTTGTTCGGCACTCCCTGCTCCGCACAGACCATGGAAGGTGAGCCCCTTCGGGGAAGACAGAAATTTTTGGACGAGGCAACCAAAGGGCCTCGAGTGACAACCGCACTCTGTCCTTTTCAAGGCAGTCAGGGGGAACCTCATACTCAGCAGGACGAGACAAAGCATCAGCCTTGACATTGCGTTCCCCGGAAATGTGTGACACATCCAGCGTTGTTCTATGTACAGCTGCCAGCAAAGAGATCCTTTCCAGGAAAAAACAGAGGGGCCGAGAGGTGGAGAAAGAGGCATTCACCCCTGCTTCTGCACCTGTGTTGTCTGATGCGGAACGTAGCTGCAAAGGGATTCTGGCGCAAGGTAAAAGAGAAGATGTTGCCAAAATCAGCGCCCCCTGGGCGAGCGCTTCATAGCAAGCAATATCAAGCTGCATATCCGCTTGCACGGGAATCTCAAGGGCCCTAAAGGCACTGTAGGGAAAAGTTTCGCGAAACCAGCGCTGGCCTATCGTGGGGTGAGAAACGTACCCACCAATGCAGCACACCGAGCCGTGTGCACTTGCATCTGCCTCAAAGGATGCGTTGCCTTGAGGGCGCATGCTGCAAAATGGGCACACATGCAAAAGCCAGTGTTCAAACAAGCCTAAAATGCGTACTGATTCGGGGCTCAATTTGCGCTTTGAACTGGATTGACTTGACACACGCATCCAAACTCGCCTGTCTGTAATGCGCACTCGATCCAAGTCAGACAATGTTGATAGATCCTGATGACGGACTGACAAAAGTGTGCTGTGGAGCGGAATTGCTGTACCTGGAGGGACCGACTTGAATTGCAGGGAATCCGTCAAGTGGTGACGAAGCTGTGGCCAAACATCTGGGGCCACCGAGTAATTGGTAGCGGCGGGGCTGAAAAGATCATGATAGAAGGTGTACAGAAGTGACTTCATTGTCGGGAAAAGGTGCGCCGCCCAAAGAGCCAGCCCGACAAACCTCTCCAAATCCTTACGTGAAATTTTTGGATTACGCTGAAGGTCTTGAACCATCCCCAAAAGTTTTAACCGTTTCTCCTCTGCAAGCGACACAACACCGGAGGTGTAGCAGAAACACCACCCTATCCAATGAACCCGAGAGCTAACTTGAAGTTTCTTCCAACTCAAGGGTACCCCCAGTACCTGGAGGAAGAGGCAGATCATCGCCCCCGTTGCTGGCAAGACGGCTTCCGCCTGAGAGAATAGGTAGTCGTCCACAAACAAGTGGCCTGCATGGCTGAACCAAATCAAGATGTGCAACAACCGAAGCAGGCATGAACCTAAGCGCCCCCACCAATGCTGTGCAAAGACCGCCTCGAATGGGGCCACGCGATAGAAGTACAAAGAATCTGCAAAAGCGAAACCTAGGAGACCCTGCTCGGACTCCTTGACAACGCATCTTTTGTGAGCACTTTTGACATCAAGAGATATGGCAGCTTGCCGCGAGCGGGTGCCCCGAAGGGGGAAACAGTGCATCACGTCCCTAACTGATGGCATATGCTGGACTTCTGGAACGTTGCAGCTTGCATTCGTGCCACACACTGAATTATCTAAGACCAACCTTTCCGAACGATTTGGCGCACGGACCACGGAGAGCTTCCCTATTGCCAGTGTACCCGGCCATTTTGCCTTAGCTGCCTCAATGTCGCCATCAAACTTGAAGCAGAAGCCCTGATCAAGTTCCTCCTGAAGCAAGGCTTGGGTCACGGACAAATCAACTGAGGCCGAGCGCCAATTCTGCATGTGGATGGAAAGTGATACATCCTCAAGGTTCTCTTTTTGATTCGGCCAAAAACAATTTGACACTGGGATATCGTTGTTGTACCCCGTGGGGACGCCTTGCAAAAGGGATTTGCAAAGACTCACATCCGGATCACCACAAAAACAGGCAAGTGCCTCAAGCGCATGCAGATGCAAGGGTTGATGCTCACGGACCTTCCATGTATTTGCATCTGTCGCCACACCTAAGCAGGAGAAGAAGTCTTTGCGCGCATCTTGCACCTCCGACGCGGTGAAAAGGGGTTCGGGATTAGGCCAAGTGGCTTTAGCAAGCAGGCGTTTGGGGCCCTGCATGTCACAAACTTTCCCCAAAAGGTATGTCCGAAGATTTTTAAGCTTGTCCTGGCACAATGGGGTACTCCAATCCCCACAAGAGTGGCGACCTGCCCCATCGTGGATTACCCACGGTCCAACATCCAGGGCCTTGACAGGTACTAAAGCCGACGCGGTGGCAATAGTGTGTTCAATCTGTGCACCTGCAAGAAGCGGCCTGATGTGCAACGCGAATTCTTCAGCCAGGCATTGAGGGTACTTAGCCGTCTTACGACTTTTGAACGAGCCATCACTCTCACGTCCCTGCACGGACTCATGTGCATTGCGTCCGTGTTGACACGTCTGTCCCATCACGGACAGGGCTTGAAAGCTCGATGCAAACAACCAAGTTTTTGCCCAGTTCTCCCCAAATGCACAGGCCGGGAGGACAATGAGGGCTGTGGACCCACAGTGCAACCAGCCTTGAACGCACGATTCATCCCAGGACATAGCACCTGAAGGTTGCTCCAAATGGCCATGGCCCCCGGCCCCATGGACTACTTGAAGACATTTGCACGCCCTGAAAAGCATCTCGTGACTTGTTTGTATACGAGCCTGAGCTGATGGGGGTAGATTCTCCAGGCCCCCTAGCTGGGTTGGTGTGCGGATGGCAAAGGGCGGACCTCCAAAGAGTTTCAGGCGGGAGTATTCCGAGCAGCAAGGGGATGCCGCACAATACCCCACAACACCTGAGCCACAGATGAACAAGAGCTGCTCGAAAAAGGTATTAGCGAGAATGTCCATGCTGCTATCCAACAGGATATCAACTGCAAGTGTTGGGAAGCCTAACTCCTGCACCGCTGAAGATAGAGGCTTCTCCGCGCCCGAACAAATGTCCAGGAAGATTCTTGAAGACTGCTGCAGCGCTGATTGAACTATGGCAGGCGAGGATGGTGGTGGGCGAGGTATTTGGGGCTGCAAGGTCAAGCTGTGGTGAGCAAACCCTTTTGGAGAAGGCTTTCCCCAATTAACCCCGGAGCTAGGAACTGCCTGCTGAGTAGGAGGGCAATGGGCGGGTGTGGGAACCGGTGCTGGGGGCACGGTTCGTGGCTGGGGCCAAGGGAACCCCAAATCCCTAAGTGTATCACCTGACACGCCTGGGAGGGTAAAGGCCGTCAGCACCCATCTATCGCCAAGCCATGGTTGGGTGCAATGCCAAAGGTGCACGGGGAACTTAAATGGCGCGTGATGCGTTGTGACGATCTTGCCAGGGAGAGTCACCCCAAGCTTGGGGATGAACTGCGGCACAGTGCCTGCTTGATCCTCAACCCAAAGGCCTCCATCCGAGTACGAACCTATACCCACTGTCAAATTTGATGACCCCGGCAAATTTGCTGTGTCCTTGTGCGGGGACGTCAAGATGTTCCTGCTGACACACAAGGCATTCCAAGTCTCACCTGGGAACAGTTGGCACAGGAAACCATTAAGGCTTGCACACAATTGTGGGAGTGCATCCGTAACTGATGAGCGGGCCGAAGGGTTCCCTAGGCGCACCCCAAAGTTCCAGTATCCTGATTCCCCCGGAGCCGCTGAAGTAACGCTCCTGGCAGGAAGCACGCGTGGAGGCCAAGAGGCTGAAAGTAATGCCTGAAGACAGGACTTAAAGTCGTGTATGACTGAGAACCTTCTTCTGCGACATGTGTAACACCCACCTGCCCGGGTGTTACCGCACCCCTGGAACGACCAGGTGTGTTGCACGTGACATCACCCAACACGGGTTGTGAAGGGATGTTGCCCTGAGGACATTGCAGTGCTGGCGACGACACAGGCCCAGCATTTGTCTCCAACAAGGAGACCGATTTCGGAATCACATTTACAGGCTCGGCTGGCCGAGCTGCCGGCTGGATATCACACCCAGCAACACGATTTGCACCTGCCTGGTGCTTTGCTGGAAAAGGCTGTTGAGGTGATACTGACATACAAGGCGACGAAGGGTGTGACTGAACTGGCTCAGTGTGAGCTTGCAAAGGATGCGGGGCATTTGGGGGTGATACCTCTGTAGACTGCGAATCTGAATTCGGGAATTTTTGCCACGGCACAAGGGTAGGTTCGAATCAGTGAGGCGTCTGCTCATGCTGCGAGGCTGTGTGCGACTTGCTCCCGCACGCTGATCCATCCTGCTTGGGGTATGCACATGCATGAACAAAGGGGCAGGAGCCTCCCCTTGTGCAGCGGCCAATCTGCCACTGGACACACAGCCCTTTCTTCTCAGATCCCACTTGGATCTCTTTCGCGAAAGTGATGTGTCTCCCTGGAGCGCCCTTGGGCTTACCGCCCTTTTCCTTGCCCCGGCCCTTGCCCAGGCCTTTCCATTGACCAACCTGCTTGCCCTTGCCTTTGAGATCAGGGCCGCGGGGGATGAACAAGGCTTTCGGACGAGCCTGCAGCAAGGTGCTAAGCTCACCTCTGATTTCAGTGAACTCATGCAACGCGTCATTCAAGCTCCAAGCTTTCTCACTGACTAAAGAATGGATGCTCTGCCAAATCCGACAATCTGCCTGTTGCGCTTCTAGGATTGTCGGTGCACGCAGTCCTGATGCTGGGTCGAAACGCTGGGACACAAGCTGGACAAACTTGCAGCTATAGGCTTTGAGGCGGGCAAGGTGAGCTGAGCCAACCATGGCTAACGCAACGTCATGCACTGCCAAGATCCGCTGGATACCACTGATCCCCATATTGGCATCGGTCACTTCGATTGTAGGCGGATCATCAAGGAGCAAGCTGGAAAGACCCAGCATTTCGAGCTTGGGCTGTTTGTGGGGTCGGGCAATCAACAACTCCGAAGCTTTCTCTTCCGTCATGCGATGTTTCCAAGCTATCCATTTATACTCCGAACGTGCCTCTTGATGGGCTGCGAGGGAAATCAGCCTCAAAGAGGGTAGAGTAGATGGATTCAAGACCTCACTTGGGCAAGGAATTGGCGCTTCATGTCGGACAGCTTCGTGGATGCAATTTTGGGAGCAAAACTCTCTACCCATGTCTCCAAAGTAGGATCTGCGTTGACTGGGGCCGGTAGAGCACTAGAGGAACTGGATGCTTGCATGCCCGCCCACGCTGCTTTGATTTGGGCTATCTGCAACCGAGACAAAATCTGACCTGGGAAGATCTCGGGGAGGGCTCCCTCAACCTCTGCCTGGGTTTCAACGACGTGTTTGAAAGCCGAGGCTGTCCAGCCCCCTTCCGTGGCCACTTTGATGACCTCTGCTGCCAAGCCTTCCTTCGCCAGTGCACTCTCCAACTCGGAATCAGCCATGTCAAGCAAAGATAACGCAGGGCTAATGTTGGTGTTTAGCGCTAGAACAATGCTTGATACCTAGATAGGATGACAGAGCTTTGTTCTCGTGAGCTAGATGATCATGCTAAGCAACAGATCTGAAATGTACGAAACTTCCAGGGCGTCGCCTGACCACCACGTGAAACCCTTGCAAGACGCAACGCCCCTAAAGATCTTTCCCTTGGGGATTTGCTAGCCCAATCGAGCGCCTGCCTGCAGAAACGCCAAGAGCATGTCAAGATCATAGCAGCAAGCTAACCCTTGGTGAACATGTGCAACATGACAGCCTGCTGTTTCACTGATGCATACGCAAAACAACAACCACACTTGTCTGACACGAACATTGAAGCTCACTCCTCGGAAAAACAAGATAAAGCTGCCAAGCATGCACCGCGTCTGCACAACCGACACGAAGATGGCACTGACGTGTGGATCATGAGCCGATCGGCCGGAAGAGTGGCACCACACTTTGCACGCATATATGTGCCATTGACAAGTGTGCCTGACAAAGCATCTGAAGGGCAAAGCACATGCAACACCGCGGTGCAGGAGCCCAGCAAGAATTCATCGGGCTCACCTAAGTTGTGCTCTTCGGCCGGGGGTGCCGAAGGTTCCGCCTCGCTCTCATCTGAAGATCCTGGGTCAGAGTGATACACGAGATCTTTGTCCAGCGCCTCTGTGTCTGGATCAGGGGTGACTAATTGATTTTCTGCGACCTCCCAACTCCCATTACTGCTTTGAAGCAAATCATCACTGCCATCAAGTTGAAACGAGAACCACTGGAAGGGTTCAAACTCGTAGTCCTTAGAGAAAGCTTCCGGTGGAACGTACGCTGGCGTCAAGGGCTGCTGCCCCCCTCTGTGCTGGGGGACCAAAAATCGGAAGCCTGCGCGGATGCTATCACGAATGCAAGATTGGCACCGAAGCATGCCATGAACATCGTCACGGGAATAAAGAGCGGAGCTGCTTATGCGGTGGTGCCCTTGACGTTTCCTATCAACCTCATCAACATTGACTTGAAGGGACATGGAAAGCATAGTGGCTTTGAGACTATGCACTGTGAAATTGAGGGGCGGTACCTCTGGTGGTGAGGACGCCCAAGGCATGAGGAGAAAATGCCTCAACCACCTCAGCGCCTCAGCATAGCTCATAGCTTGCAGGGGGAACATGAAACTTTCGCCTTGCACTGCTGGAAGTAAGAACGATGGAAGCCACGATTCTGTGTGGTTTCGAACATGCATTGTAACAAGCCTGTCAAGGGCATGCAGGTATTTGCTGACCCAAGAATGCGTCCCGCGAGACAGAATACCTGACGCAAGGATGCCCCAGGGCTGCCCGGTGTGACATGTTTTGGTCGCATAACACGTACCACGAAGGACATGCAAGTCAAAAGATAATGAACTCCACTCCACGCGTTGAAGATCTGCAAATCGCAATGAACCCCAGGCAGCAACCAAAAAACCACCAAGCACAACCACTTCAAGAAGTGACGCCTGCTTCATCAAGATGCGCCTTTCCCACAGCTGAAGCACCCAAGTGGGTAGTGGGAAACTCTCACGGCGTTCACGAGGAATTTTTGACTTCAGAAAGGAATCAATCACTTTTTCATACGTGCACGATAAGATTGTACATTCTGCGACTTTGCATAGCCAACGAAGTGCTTTGATTGTCATGCAACAGCTTGAACCCAGAGTAGGGTCTCCATGCTTCTCAAGGGACATGGTGACTAGTATGTCTGCCATCATAACACTATCAAGATTGCAAAAACAGAGGCCTAGCCCTTCAAGGTTCGCCACAAAGTGTGACCAAGCTGCCAGGTAACGTAGCACTGTGTTCGTGGCATACCCGGAAAGAATCCGCGAGGTGTGATGACTGGCAAATTCGGAGCACTGGATCTGCTTGAACAATCCACTACAATCACCCATAAAAACAAGAACACCCCAAAATAGTGACAAGGCCATCTGGGAGAAACCTGCAATCTGCTGGAACTTGGGATGGTGGGGATCGGCCGCCTTTGCGGGCTTTCGCTTCGAGACAGCTTTCAAGAGGAACGATGAAGTACTCTGCTGCTGTTGGTTGGACTCTACAGAGAACTGCCGAAACCTGGCAAAGTGCCTGGCTGATTCTTCTTCAGCATCAGAATCACAATCGCTCCTGCTGGACGTTGCAACAGGAACAGGCAGAGGTTGCCCGGCACGTGGAACTGGCTCAATGTGTCGTCCCTGGGAGTACAAAGGTTGGGCAAGACCTGCCGACGGCAGAGGGGGAGCGGTTACCTTTAGGTTTGTCAACTGGTAGCGCAAGCCCCCCCAGGGGTGGTGGTGCACACTTGCTCTTTGCCTTACTGAAATGCTTATCATCAGGATCCGTCGGGCGTTTCATCCTACAACCCTCTAGTCTTCAATCAAGCTTTGCCAAAAACCTGGAGGCCTTGGGAAGCTGGTCTGAACTGCACGCACAAGAAAGCTGAAGCAACTCTCAAGGTGCAAGAGCCGAACAGAAAGGCAGCCGATGCTACTGGTGCCAGTATGGCCGCGCAGATCCCGACGGACCCTCTGATCTTCCTGCTCGATGCGATGCACACGCTCTTCCAAGACTGCAATGTGTGTATGAAGGGCTTCCAACTGGCTCTGCAACTCGTGAACTCGAAGCTGCAACTGATCTGAAGAGGCGTCAAGCCCAGCACACGATGCTTCCATGCACTCACTTTGGAGTGAGCCCGCTCACCCCTGGAGCATCGTTCAAAATGAAAACTATGCTGAATGCAAAGGTTGCCAAAACACAAACCAAGCACTTTGGGAAAACATGGATAAGAAGACTTCCCATAAAGAAAGCATGCCGTGGACAAACTTGACTTTCTCGCTAGCAAGCACAACTCTAGAACCAAAATGGCGCACGAACATAGTTTATAAAACATACATGAACAAGTACATGATACGAGACTCGAGCCAAGACTGCAGGTTCATGAAGGCAGGGCACAACAAAAGCCAAACAGGAGAGAGGACCGCAAGGCGGCACGAAATCAAGCAACAAAGCCAGGAGTAGATCGGGCAAAGAGCAAAGGCGGCTACCCCAAACCATATCACAAGCAAGGTCACCAGGGCAGCAGACGAGTCAAAGAGATCACGTCCCAACACATCAGGGCATTAACACGTGGAGTCCCAGGTTGGTACAGGACTGCACCAACAAGCGGTTGTAAAGGCCAACAGCTCACAATGAACCGGACAACCAGCACCTCTTCCTGTGGACGCATGGCACATAGCTCCACAGCTGCAAAGCAGTTGGCCAAAAAGAGGGCCTAGCCAAGGGCGATTAAAACCAATGGACTTTAACCACACGTGAATGAAAGGAAGTGCTCTAGCAGAAGGCCCAAAGCCATAGTTACCATGGCCAAATGTAATGTGGCGGGTAGTGTTCATTTGCCTGTAGCTCCCTGGCAATTTGCCGGGCCCGAGGCGTGAGAACCTGCAAGACAGCTGCTGCTTCTTGCCATCCATGCTTGTTCCATACCAGTGAGCGCACGAGCACCGAAGACCATTCAGGTGTTAAGTGGAAGTGCTCGGTTAAAGCTTGCTCCCCGACACACACAAGAGAAAAGCAAAACGGAAGCAATCCAACCGAAGGTGAAACATCCCTTTCTCTCTGCGGTGCATGGTCCAATTTGATATTTCAACCAGAAGCCGGGCGACCCGACATCCGAGGCGCTTGTCGCGGTCCGGCGTTTCCCTCTAAACCCGGACAACGGCAAGGTTGTGACACCAGGAGGTCAGCCACGCCGCGAAGGCGTTGTGACGCGCGGCAAACTAAGCTTGCGGAGCTGAATGAAACCCCAATCCCTTCGGGGACCCCTGGGGGACTGAAATTGGGGAGCTCACGGTTCGCAAAATGCGGTCGGTCTGACAGAAGCAACATCACGTTCCATGCTAGTCAGGTTGTCTCCCTTGCCCAGGTCATTCATATGGTCATTCCCTGCAGTGATGAGAGGCACGCGACGCCGATGCTGCTACTGGTCGGCGGGCTTTTCTGGGCGAGATGTCGGACGCCACCTCACTCCGGCTCTTCTGGGCGCACACCCAAACCTGTCGGATTTTCTGCCCAACTCTACGTGACTTCCTGCCCAACCCTGCCCGGTTTTCTGCCTAGCCTACCCGATTTGCTGCCCAACCCTGCCCCAGTTTCTGCCCATCCCGTGTGATTTGCTGCCCAACCCTGCCCGGTTTTCTGCCCAACCCTACTACCCCATTTGCTGCCCAAACCTGCGCGTCAGATCCAGTATCAGCCTTACTTATCTCTGCCTGTGGCAGAAGATGGGTGCAAGCTGAATCAGGCAGACCCAGGTTTCTCCCTAAAGTGGTGGTTAAGTAGGTTGAGCAGCGTCTTCATTGGGGTCAGCATGATGTCGCACAATCTCACCGAAGGAGTTAAGGAGCGCAATGGCAGGGTAGAACTGGGTTGTATTAGTGCTTCTGCTGAAGAGAGCCTCAATGTGCAGCTTAGTCTTGACCAACTGAGCCCACAAGTTTTCTTTTTGGACTCCATCAATCGAGTCATAAAGAAGAATGGACTCCCCAGCTTGTTCTTTAGCATGATGCAGCACAAGATAATGCTTGGCCTTAGGATCGTGCAAAACAAGCGCAAGCACGCTGTATGCGTGCTGCAAGACCTGCACAGGACTGCCGAGAAAGTTTCGGATATCTTCTTCGTTTTTACAAACTTGTCCAAATGAACTCCTTTGTGTCTTCTGTGTGAGGATACAGAAGAAGGACGGAACTCTCTGGATTTCAAGTTTGCAAATATCATTACGCGGACTGAGGTTTTGTTGCAAGCAGGCGATAGCAAGGTCAACAAGTTGACCTAGATCTGTAAGAATGTTAGACTGTTCGATGGAGTCTTGTTCAGAGTGCAACGGCAGAGCCAAGATGGGCTGAGGCTGCTGACATTTAGAACACTTGCAATGAATCTGCAAAAGCAAAGTGTAT